AGTTCTTCAAAAATGTGCAGGTTTTAATTTTGCGCTATAAATGGGATAAGCAAACCTCTTCAAGATTCATACTCATTCCGGATTACTGGAGAAGCGAAATTTTGGATGTAGAACCATAAATTCAAATAAGAAGTTGGTTTTTGAGACCTTTCGACATGAATTTTTATGTAATAAGTTCGCACTGATACCTATGAGGATGACTGCACAGCGGTTGTGGACAGCGCACTGAATGTTGGCGATTAAATTAGCGACCGTGGCGTATTTTAACTGGTAATTGAACTTTATTGTATATAGCAAAACGCTTGATGCTGTCAGATGTTGCAATCGAGCAACTGTTTGTCCATCTTGGATTCCGCGGAGATTATATGGAAAAAAATGTCGTTCACCTCTCTAAGTTGTAAAAGAAAAAAAAATTCTCTGATTCGGCTTGGTCTTGTAAAAGGTAATCAGTACTGGAATGTTGATATATTATACTATTATATTCTACTGTCTACTAATGTTCAGCTACATATGCATAAACAACTGTAACGTTGCTTTATATTCAGATAAATCTTGCTTTTTACTAGTAAAGTGTGAGTAATAATTTTCTGGTTGGCTGTTATAGTATGGTTCTTGAAATTCATATATCGTGTGCTTCTAAATCTATGGACAGCACTCTGTATTTTGGAAATGTCGAAAGCGCAAAAAGCCGAAAATTGGGAAAAGGTGACGTTTGGTTTGTGCTGAACAGAGCTTCTTAGTAGCTTGATCGAGAGGGTAGTACATTGGGAAGGCATATGGCGTTACCTCGAGTCTCACCTGGGGCTTAGACCTCAAACAGCTTTTAAAGGAAACGACGATTTTTGGATAATGACCTCTACCTGGTCTGAGCTAGTCGGACTTTATAAAACTACTCTTAAAGTTCGGAAACAAGTCGGCAGTATACGAAAGTAGAGAAGAAAGAAGGAGGGAGAGCAATAATGATTGCACGAATTCTCTTTATTACATTCCCAATTACATATTTTTTCCACTCCCTGAAGTTTTGTTTTCTTGGTGATATAAGTCAATCGAGAAGCATGTAATAAAAATTGGGGAATAACATTTAATAGATGTAAGAAGTTAGTCTAATGTAGTTTTATTTAGGCAACTTACTGATGCTTACAAGGTTCACAGTTATTAAGGATGTTGGAAAAAAAACGGTTGAAGTTGGTATCGATGAAGAGTTCTGAGTATAGCTCAGTAAACTAGAATGCTTGTAAAAAACTGTTTTCTTTTGGTCACAGAGCAGCTCCTACCTGTTGAAAAAATTGTGACATGCTTGATAAGTGTAGTAAAAGTCAAAGACCCTGAGGTACTCCCAAACCCCCAGCCTTCCCATTCTTTATACTTGTTATGCTCCCTAGAAATTTTCTGTGTGATGATTTCAACTAAGCACTCAACCTACCTTTTTTTTGCAGCTTTATAGTGGCCTTTCACAACATCAGTGGCACTTGCTTAAAATGTTACCATGGTTAGAAAAAAAGGCTGCAGACTAATGCTGAACGTATCCATACTACTACGCGTTTCTCACGGTTGTATTTAGTGGGGATGATAAGTTTCTCCTTGCAGACGCGACTGTAATGTATGCATGCATTCGACAAGGCAAAATTGCCATTGTTTTCTAATTGCTTTCGTGTTTTTATTTGCGTTTTTGTTTCGACCATTTTCACAAACGCTCGCAATATGATCCTAAAAGTTAAAATATTTTATAATATGCTCTCGTTAACTTGACCGCTCTAATTAGGGCAATCCATGAAGAAAACAGAAGGTCAAATGAATGCAGAAGGAACGTATCAGATTAGCATCACGAACTGTTGTGCAGGAACCTACAGCATGTATTTACTTTCCTCTCCGTTTCTTTTTCCGAAGAAATTTTCATACTGCGTCCTCCTAGCAGCTCATTTTTTTCTTGACATTTTGGTCGCTATGCTTTATAGTATTCTTTTTGTTTAGAACTGCCAACCAGATTTTCCTTAACAAATTTATTTTGTTTTCCTGTAGTATTGCATAAGTCGAGTTGGTTGCACAGTTGCAGAAATTAATGACTCAAATAGGAGTTGCAGCTAAAATTACTGCGATTAGTAAATTTAAGTACTAGGCTATAGCAGGAAAAGAACTGTACAGTATTTGAAATAACACAGAAAATAATAGGAAGAACACTGCATGCGCATTCCGTAGTAAATGTTGTGCGGAATTTTCAACATCTTTATCACCTAAAAAA